GCTTCTTAAGGAGTTAATATTAGAACAATTTCATTTATATATAGTCCTTTTAAATATGTTAACAACCTTGTCAACACATACAAATAGATAGATTTAGAGTTATTAATACTAATTAGCAAGTTCCTGTGTTTGGTGCCAAGCTCCTAGATCTCCTGTTAGTAGTGTGTAAGATGCGTTATTTGGGTGAGTGGTGATGTATGTTAATCCAAATAGATACACTATGGCTGGGAATCATGAAGGGTAATTAAGCAATCCTTTGGTAAGTAAACCTTTTAATCTATATAGTTGCTTGAGCTATAGGCAGCAAAACGTATCGACTAGAGTTGTACGTCTTTAATTAAACTTTTGTTTATTGAACAAAAATGCAAACATTAATTACAAGTACAATGAAAATGTATCGCCTTTTCTTACTAATTTCTTCAAAGTATTTTAATGAGAATTTTGTCCTTTTTCTTTTTACGAGCAGCTATGTTCTTTTTGAAATTTTTAGCAAAGAAAGGCTTAGAAAAAGTGTTGCTAAATAATTTCTTTCAAATTCTAAAAGCGTGTTTTTGCAACTTTTTTAGAACTTGATCTCACTATTTTTGCAATACCTTTATAATTTTCTCATTGTCCTATGTGTTGGTTGTGACACCTAGAGGCTATATGTGGTTACTACTGTTTAGTATTTAGTAGCATCAGTTGTATCATGAATACTGGGTCACTAAATTGTGTGTACTGTGTGTGTTATTTTCTTTGTGAAGAGTTTCATTCAGGAAGATTTGGTGTCACTCAAAATAGAAATGTGTGATAATTAAAACTCAAAAATGGGGGGTGGAGCCAGCACACAAGCAGAACGGACACCTTCTCGCTAAACTCGTACGAGAAAAGCACCAAAATACTCCCCAAATGCTTCAAAAATCGAGTTACATAAGCAATTCAATAATGGTACACATCGAAAGCACACCCGGGTGTCCTTCTACACAGCCCGATGCCCTTTTTACACACTTCACAGACAGAGGAATCGAAGTGCAGGTCAGAGGCCTACAAATTGCCCTCCATCCCCAGACTCGAGTCTCTCCTCGGCGGATCTCTGGAGGGAGACCTATTCGGTCCAGCCAAACCACCTGCACTAATCTCACAGGCAGCGGGAACAAGTATGGGACGCCGATCCCAGAGACCTGCAGCAGCCACACAAGAGACATCGGCACTCTCCTGCAACGCCAGCTGCAACACAAAATGGCGGCCACAAAGAACCAGGAGGTCTCTCCCTTACCAAGCTTTGCAGAACCAGCAGCTCCAATACTACAGCCTGCAGCCGAACTAGAGCTTACAGCACCCTCGATAATCCAAGGAGAGCCTGAACTAGCTACAAAGCAGGATATTCAAACTTTCATGCAGGATATCCAAAAGTGGCTGTAATCTGATAATGCAGTTATAGGAAGTTCGGGCCTCTAAGGAGGACATTTTGGATATACGCATGGACATGACCACGATGCAAGACACCATCAGGCAAGTCCAGACTTCCCAACAGACAATCAACACACAAATGTCTGCTGTGGAAGATCTTTACAGGTGGCAACATAATAAAATTTGTGGCATACCCGATAATGTCCCACTGGAAGAATTACCACATTACCTCAAGAATTACCGCAAGACGACTGCTCATGGTAATACTACCTCAGACTTTGGCAAGAAAGATAACCCTTGATGGGGCATACCACCTTCCAAAATCCCCTAATGTGTCTCCTAAGGTAATGAGGGATGTCGTGGCTCGCTGTTCCTCATTCCACGACAAGGGATATATCTTGACAGCAATTCGAGACAAGACCCCTTACTCATTCGAGAACTCTCACCTCACATTCTATCATGACTTCACTAGGTCCACGCTCCAGTGGGGCAGATCCCTCAAACCAGCTGAAAGAATCTGGAGTGGCCTATAACTGGGGTTCTCCAAGGTCCCTCATGGTGACCCAACAAGGGACTGTCCATCGCCTCTCAACCATCACCGAGGCCCCCGCTTTCTTACAAGCTTTGGGACTGCCAGCCCTGCCTCCATAGGCAACACACACGGCCCCAACCTGGGATCCAAGCCAAGTGGTTCCCTTTGTCTCGAAAGGTCAAACGGGGGTTCGTCTGTACACCTGACTCTTGACAAACCTGAAGATGTCTTTATTATCTTCATTGTTATGATTTGTTTCATGTTTAACACTGTTCAGTATTTATTTTTTTTTCTCTTGCTGCACCGTAGATTGCCATCTTTATAAGTGAGTCACCCAAGTTGGGGCAGCTCACCTTAACTGCTCAAAAGAGCACAGTTTTAGCCCTCTTTAGCCAGAACATAAGCTGAGCTACATCCTTCAACACCCCCACCCCTTCACCACCCCCCACCCCTGCCAACCCAAGCATCCATGAGCACAGGTGACAGACCTTCTGTAATTCTCACAATTCCTTAAGTTTAGTTCTATGTCCACCTTGCCTTTATCTTCCGTCACTCTACGCTCATGTCATATATAGCCTATCAATTGTGCCCTATATAGCCTCCCTTGTCAGGATCACAGCCATCTAGGCCAGTCACTCGAGTTTAAATTATCCAGCATGACACTGCACAGGAATGCACATATTGGCCTGTACACTCAAAGAATCGTGAACCACATGCAGACACTTACCCGTGATGGAAAATCTAGGGAGCAAACCAATTGTGCATTTCAACTGTTAATGTTAATGTTTAAATTTATAAAAAAACAAAACATTCCTTATGCTCTCAATATGTGGATGATGACATAATTCTTGCACATGCATGTTTACTTTACCCAACATCTGCCTGTGTCGTATTTACATGTGTAATGGAAAAATGAAGAATTAAAAAAACCAAAAACAAATCAATAATGGAACAAATGGCTTAACCGCCTCCTATTCAACAAATCATTAGAATCAGGGCTCGAGTCCTGCAGGAACGCATGGGAACGGCGTTCCTGCACTTTTTCCATAGCAGGAACGCCGTTCCCGTTACCTGTCCTGCAGGACCGGCCCTGCTACCTGCACAGAGGGGCCAGCACACGCTGTGTTCCTTCTCCAGCTATAACTCTCGCGAGACCCGCGGCTGTTACCATGGCAACGCTCCGCACAGGCGAGTCTCGCGAGAGTTAGAGCTGGAGAGGGAACACAGCGTGTGATGGCCCCTCTGTGCAGCGGCTGGCTCCCTCCACCGGACCACCAGGCGATCTCCCCCCTCCCTGACAAGGTAAGAAGCAGGGAGGGGGGAATAAAATAAATATTAAACACAAATAAAGAAAAAAATGCTTCCCCCCTCCCCAACACCCATCATCCAGCACACACACACCATCATCCAGCACTCACACACACATCATCCAGCACTCACACACACATCATCCAGCACTCACACACACATCATCCAGCACACACACCCATCATCCACACACCATCATCCAGCACTCACACACCCATCATCCAGCACACACACACCCATCATCCAGCACTCACACACACACACATCATCCAGCACACACACACACACATCATCCAGCACTCACACACACACATCATCCAGCACTCACACACCCATCATCCAGCACTCACACACCCATCATCCAGCACACACACACACCCATCATCCAGCACTCACACACACATCATCCAGCACACACACACACACACACCCATCATCCAGCACTCACACACACATCATCCAGCACCTCACACACACATCATCCAGCACACGACACACCCATCATCCAGCACACACACACCCATCATCCAGCACACACACACACACACACATCCAGCACCTCACACACACATCATCCAGCACCACACACCCATCATCCAGCACACACACACACCCATCATCCAGCAACACACACACATCATCCAGCACACACACACACACACACCCATCATCCAGCACCCACACACACATCATCCAGCACACACACACACCCATAATCCAGCACACACACACACACCCATCATCCAGCACACACGCACACACCCATCATCCAGCACACACACACACACACACCCATCATCCAGCACACACACACACACCCATCATCCAGCACACACACACACACCTATCATCCAGCACTCACACACACATCATCCAGCACTCACACACACACACCCACCCATCATCCAGCACACACACACACACTGCATTCGCTACAAACACACTACATTCATTATACACGCACTGCACTATATGCATAGGAGGGTAATTTTTTTTATTTTATTTTTGGAAGGGTATCTTGGGTGAGTTCCCACACTTTTTTCCCCAGGACTTGACCCCTGATTAGAATCCTTTCTAAATGTAATCAGCCAGAAAAAAAAGACATCTGAAGGAGGTTGGTTTAAGAAAATAGCATAGCTGTTCAATCAGATTGCCTTATTCAGAAACAAAAAGTATATAATGCTGCTAATTCTCAATGAAAAGAGACCAATCAGTGAAGGTGCCCATATTTTCCTGCACTAGAACCCTCACCAACTATTTCCAGTATTTAGAGTGAAGGCAAGGGAACCCTGCAAGACAAATTGGTGGCACTAGATGCAATGACCACTCTAGTATTTTGTCCTAAATATTTGTCACTCATTGTGACCAGGGCCGGCCCTGATTGTGACATAGGATGTTTCATAATACTTCAGGGGGATTTAGGAGCTTGGGATGCAATGAAATTCAAAGAACCGGTGTGGGTGAGGTCTTTCTCTCATTTTACATAAATCTCTACTTCTTTTTTTTCTTTTTAATTCTTTATTTTAGTTGTGCATAGCGATACAATTAAGCCTGCAGTGCCACAACAGCAATGGCAAGTACAGTATAGAGCATTAATGTGTGACAAATCGATTAAACTGCACATTTTTTAATTTTATTATATAGTCAGGTTAAACTGGCATGTCCAAGTATTAGATATACTCTTTGATTATAGGCAGTTAGGTACATTCAGACACATAGATTGATCACTATTCGTAAATGCTGTAGACACAAGCTAGTATCTCTTGAGGATTATTGGTGTGTAACATGAAGTACTAACAAACCTATTAGAGATTAGTGATTAAAACTGGCATGGTATGCACACTTAATGAAAATAACTAAATTCGAATCTAGAACACATGCAGTATGTCGTAACATAGGCTGGTGACATTTAAGAGTAAAGTTCCACTGGGCGAACAACACCAAGGTTGGAGGAAAGCAGCGAAAGTCCCACTCTATCCGATCCCCAGCATGGGGAGGCCTTTGGTACCTGCAGAAAGACAATCCAAAGTCCCTTTTCATTCAGTGGGCTGAGCTTGATTTCGGGGGCCCAGTAACAGGCTTCTGCAACACTCGCTGAGTAAGAGCTTTCTCAGGGTGTGAGTGGCGGACTTGATGAGCTGTGGCCCAGAGAACGCTCACCTCACAGCCGGATTGTGTCACGGGAATCAGCGCATCTGTAGCGGCTCCAGGGCTGGATTAACATAGGGGCTGATGGAGCTGCAGCTCCAGGCCCATGCCCATGGAATAGGCCCATTGACTTTTTACACACTACTCTTAGGGTTGCCACCTGGCCAGTGCCGATATTGCAGTAATACCGACAATACAAATGCCGGTATTTTTCTCAGTATAAACAGAGATTACTCTGCAATACCAGCACCGGTGGTGCTGTGTGTAGAGAGAGGCAGGGATAGGAAGTTACAGCATATTACTACATCTCTCTACTCACTGATCCACGGGGGAGCAGTTACGCAGGACAGAGAGTCCAGACAGCAGCTCCCAGCCTGCAGAGACAACCTACAGCTCAGGGAAGTAAGGGATGGGTTAAAGGCTGCAGGGAGACATGAGGACACTAAGATACTAGGGGACACTGAGACATGGGACACAGGGAGACCTCTGGGGACACTGAGACACTTGAGGACACAGACTCACATGGGGACACAGACAAACATGGGGACACTTGGGGACGCAGACATGGGGACACTGAGACACTAGGGGACACTGAGACCAGGGAACACAGACACTAGGGGACGCTGGGAGACATGGGGACACAGATACTTGGGGACACACATGGGGACACTGAGACATGGGGACACAGACACACATGGAGACACTGAGACACTTGAGGACACAGACTCACATGGGGACACAGACAAACATGGGGACACTTGGGGACGCAGACATGGGGACACTGAGACACTAGGGGACACTGAGACCAGGGAACACAGACACTAGGGGACGCTGGGAGACATGGGGACACAGACACTTGGGGACACAGACACACATGGGGACACTGAGACATGGGGACACAGACACACATGGAGACACTGAGACACTTGAGGACACAGACTCACATGGGGACACAGACAAACATGGGGACACTTGGGGACGCAGACATGGGGACACTGAGACACTAGGGGACACTGAGACCAGGGAACACAGACACTAGGGGACGCAGGGAGACATGGGGACACAGACACTTAGGGACACAGACACACATGGGGACACTGAGACATGGGGACACAGACACACATGGAGACACTGAGACACTTGGGGACACAATGCCCCTAAGTGTCTCAGTGTCCCCATGTCTCCCAGCCAGTGTCCCTGGTGACTCAATGCCCCATATCTCCCAGTGTCCCTAGTGTCTGTGTCTCCATGTAGTGACATGGGGACACTGAGAGACATGGGTACACAGACACTAGGGGACACTGTGCAACATGGGGACACAGAGACATGGGGACACTGGGAGACATGGGGCACTGAGACACAGTGAAACATGGGGACACTGTGATACATAGTCTCAGTGTCCCCCAGTGTCCTCAAGTCTCCCAGTGTCCCCAAGTGTCCCCTAGTAACATGGTGACACAGACACTAGGTTACACTGGGCGACATGGGGATGCTGGGTGACATGGGGACACTGGACGCAATCCATCTATACAGCAGAATCAAACTGTAAGTAGTTTTTGGGTGATTTTACAGAATTGTCTCTTATGTTACTCCTTGTGAGTTACATCATGTGATGTCATGCATACATAATTAGTTATGCAAATTAGTACGGCCTGTATTTCTTTCCAAGAAAGGTGGCAGCCCTAACTACTCGTTACATACTCTTGCTTAAAGGACCACTATAGGCACCCAGACCACTTCAGCTTAATGAGGTGGTCTGAGTGCCTGGTCCAGCTAGGATTAACCCTTTTTTCTATAAACATAGCAGTTTCAGAGAAACTGCTATGTCTCATTGACAGCCGATAGAGGGCTTCAGCGCTTTTCACTGTGATTTTCACAGTGAGAAGACACCAGCATCCATAGAACAGCATTGTGAATGCTTTCCTATGGACTGGCTGAATGCGGCGCGGCGCGGCGCATCGCAGAGTGAGGCTGGGAGCCGGGTTGATGACGTCATATTCCGGCTCCCAGCCTCACTCTGAGGCGCACGAGGGAGCTGAGCAGACCGCTCAGGGGAAGTGCTCCCTCGCCAGCCGCCCGCCCAGCAGCCACTGGACCCCCAGGGAGAAAGGGAACCGCCCCCCGCCAGCATTCCCAAAGGTAAGGAGGGGGGGGGGTTAAAAATAAATGTGTTAATGTGAGTGAGTGAGTGAGTATGTCTGTTAGTGTGTGTGTGTGTCTGTTAGTGAGTGTGTGTGTGTCTGTTAGTGCGTGTTAGTGAGTGTGTGTCTGTTAGTGTGTGTCTGTTAGCGTGTGTGTGTGTGTGTGTGTGTGTCTGTTAGTGAGTGTGTGTCTGTTAGTGTGTGTTCGTTAGTGTTTGTGCGTCTGCTAGTGTGTGTGTGTGTGTGTGTGCCCTGTTAGTGTGCGTGTCTGCTGCGTGTGTGTGTGTCTGTTAGTGAGTGTGTGTCTGTGCCAGTGTGTGTGTGTGTGTCTGTTAGTGTGTGTGTGTCTGTTAGTGTGTGTGTGTGTGTGTGTCTGTTAGTGTGTGTGTGTGTGTGTGTGTGTCTGTTAGTGAATGTGTGTCTGTTGCGTGTGTGTCTGTTAGTGTGTGTGTCTGTTAGTGTTTGTGTGTCTGTTAGTGTTTGTGTGTGTCTGTTAGTGTGTGTGTCTGTTAGTGTGTGTGTGTGTCTGTTAGTGAGTGTGTGTCTGTTAGTGTGTGTGTGTGTCTGTTAGTGTGTGTGTGTGTCTGTTAGAGTGTGTGTCTGTTAGTGTGTGTGTGTGTGTCTGTTAGTGTGTGTGTGTGTCTGTTAGTGTGTATGTGTCTGTTAGTGTGTGTGTCTGTTAGTGAGTGTGTGCTTGCCAGTGAGTGTATGTTTCAGTGAGTGTGTGTGGTTGTTTGTGTGTGTGTGTCTGACTGTGTGAGTATGTTTGCCTGTGTGTGTCTGCTAGTGTGTGTCTGCTAGTGAGTGAGTGTGTGTCTGTGTGTGTCAGCGAGTGTGTGTTTTTGTTAGCTAGTTTATGCGTATCTGTCACTAAATGTGTGTGTGTGTGTATTTAAAAGGCGGGGCGGGGGGAAGGGATAGGTGGGGGTCGCGCGGTTGGGGGGCGCCTGAGTTTTATCCTGCCTAGGGCAGCACAAAACCAGGATACACCACTGGCACTATAGTGCCAGGAAAATGAGTATGTTTTCCTGGCACTATAGTGGTCCTTTAAGTATGGAAACTTAGGAGGGATATATGGAAACAAAACTTGTGTGGACTAGCTGAAATTAAGTTAGTTAAGGTAATGCTGACTGGTCTCTCT